CTAACCGCCTGTTAGCATTTTAGCATCGATAGCTGTTTTGCTAAGTTAGCTCGGGAGGCTCCCTCGTTATAGTCTGAGGAGAAACAACCTTCAAACAACTAAACAGTTGTTCATGATTTAGCCTGTGTAGCCTTCTAGTCACAACAAAACACACCAATACTTTAGTGCCAAAGTATTCAGCTCTAAAACCACAAAGTTTGTGGTGTTTTCACCTTAACACTAGGAGCGCCCCTAGCGGTCAACTGACCGTCACTCACTTTAATATGCTAATTAGTGTATTCAAAACAAAACGCCAGAAGTTGAAATTTTATGACTTTTACTGGGTACTTGTTGTTTATATTTTGGTGTGTTTTGTTTTTGGAAAAAGTAAAGAAAACAAGATTTACACGCATTTTAACTTTTCTAAACCACAGCCCTTTCTGCTGCCCCATAGGGATACATGGCGCAGGGGCGACTGTTGTCATAGTAACCTTTCCCGGGGGTTTTTCGCGCCTTATACAAATGTATCAATATGTTGTCATTAGACTCTAAAGGGACTTGAGGTTTTTATTTGGGAGAGAGAAAGAGTTTTGAATTGAGAGGAGTACAACATGAATAGAGCTGCAAGTACACGGTATGAAGCCCTGACAGTGCTTCAAGACATTGAATGAGAACAGTCTGACGGAGGTGAGATGTCACAGCGGGGAGAACACCTATAATATTCTAAATCTGAACGTAAACCCGTAGTGCATTCACGGCACGGACAGCAGTGTTGGAACAAGTCCAGAAGCAATAACGCACATGACCCGCGTAATACCAGCCATACGCAGGTGTCTGTGTGCGCGCTGTTGCTCCATTCTGCCTTTTCATTCATCATCAATTACATTCTTATATTTATACATAGAAGAAGGCAATAAAGCAGAATACAATATCGCAATAAAATAGAACAATTAGATGAACTATCAAGGCAGAGTGCAGATAGAGCGCTGTGAGGCCTCTCGTCACCCGCGGACACCTGCAGGAGGAGAGCGACTGTGGGTCAGAAGCGGCCCTCATCATATCAATAAGGATATCTTTCTTATTTCATTCAGATAACACTGTGTGTTATTCTGCACAGCGCGCACTGCAAGGCAATGATTATAATTTTCTTCTGATCATAAAGAGCACTGCTTGTCTCAAATAAATACAAATATATATATATATATAACGTGTCCCGTGTAAAATTGAAGATTGTACATTGACGATGGTAGCCTAGCTGATGATCTTGTGTCAATACGAATACTATTATTATTATCTAGATAATATTTCCCACAGTGATTTCGGCTGGAAAGAGAAAACAGTCTGGAGATGACGTAAGAAGCAGACGCATACAGCAGCGCGAAGACGTTATGGTCCCGTGCTTTTCTAAACTATCATTTATATTGTTTGAATTGACATATTGTTACTGAGTCAAATTTAACATATAGTGACCGACCTTTTACGTGTTTGCAAAGTTACAAAATAAATCTAGCCAGAAAAGTCTTCGTAATTTTTTTTTATTTCGGCTGGAATTACAATTACTTAGCATATTTAGACAAATAATTTACACAGTTTCATTATGATCACGATTTCCTTGCAACAACAAATTCTGGTTTAGTGAACAATCAATTTGGCAAAAGGCTGTATCAGCGCAAAATACATAGCGGTCAACTGACCGCAGGGGGCGGTGCAAGGTATGTTTAGAGCACGGCGGTCCTAGTGTTAAATACAACAACTGGAGAACAAAAGGGATCAACATGTACACCACTAAAAAGGTAAGAATTACCTGAGCTAATGTGGCTTTTTTCCTTTATCAGGAGAACCATAGTCTGTGCCTTGCATCTGAGGAGGACTGCTGAGCTGAGTGCATGGAGAGACGTCATGTGGATTTGTGTTGCTTTGTCTTTTAAACAGAGTTACCAGTAAAAGTCATCCGGTGATCCTCCTTGTGTTGTGGTCCTTCTTCAGAGAGAGCAGAACATAGAACACAACGCAGATTACACTAATGAAGGGGTTAATGGGTGTGCACCAGGTCAAGACTGTAAACAATAAAAACAAGTTACAACGGTGCCCACCCCCGTTATTAGTCCATACCCTGCCATACAAGAACATTTCTTGGTAAGGATGTACCCCAAATCTTTGTGGATTTGGGGTACATCTGGTGGATCTGCCACCATAGTCTGCTGTACTTCCTCACGGAGCATGCACAGTGCTCCGTCAGAAGGAGGCGCAGGTTTGACAGCGAGTCAAAAAGAGATGCAGGTTTGACTTGTGTGTATCATTTCCTGCGCATGCCACAACCATCACTAGGGGCAGTGGCAAGCACACAGATTTACAACTTCTCAGGTTTCTGGTTTAAAAAAACGTTTGAGAAAACCACTTTTTAGGCATTAAAACATGCGTAGAAAACTTTTTAGAATGTAATTTTTATGAGGACAGCAAAATGTCCTCATTTCAAGGAGAAAGTCTTGAATATCGGCCTCCTAAACCAGAAAACAAACCCTAACGCATACGCACACACACATGCACGCACATACACACACGCAAACACACACGCACGCACACACACATGCCCGCACACACACACAAACACGCACAGTGGATGTAGTGACTGTGTCTCCTGTTTCAGGGCCTTACAGTGTGAGGCTGGAGGGAGGAGCCACTCGCTGTCAGGGGGAGGTGCAGCTGCAGGGACCAGGTCTGGACTGGACTCCTCTGGGGCTCGACCATGCCTCTGTTCCTCTGGTGTCTGGATCCAGACTCTGCTCTGCCCTGGACTGTGGCTCTGTTCTGTCCGTGGAGATAACACCTGTTCCCAAACAAAAAGCTTTGAAAGTCAAACCCTTCTGTCATGAAACTGAACTGATCGACTGTTTTCATAACGAAACATCTGACTCTCGTCAAAGTCTTCAGCTCACGTGCTCAGGTCAGTGACACTCAGCTGTTCACACCAACACTCTTCAAATGTAGCTCTGCTGCTCATCAGAAGGAGGCGCAGGTTTGACAGTGAGTCAGAAGGAGGCGCAGGTTTGACAGTGAGTAAGAAGGAGGTGCAGGTTTCACAGTGAGTAAGAAGGAGGCGCAGGTTTGACAGTGAGTCAGAAGGAGGCGCAGGTTTGACAGTGAGTAAGAAGGAGGCGCAGGTTTGACGGTGAGTCAGAAGGAGGCGCAGGTTTGACAGTGAGTAAGAAGGAGGGTCAGGTTTGACAGTGAGTAAGAAGGAGGCGCAGGTTTGACAGTGAGTCAGAAGGAGGCGCAGGTTTGACAGTGAGTAAGAAGGAGGCACAGGTTTGACAGTGAGTCAGAAGGAGGCGCAGGTTTGACAGTGAGTAAGAAGGAGGTGCAGGTTTCACAGTGAGTAAGAAGGAGGCGCAGGTTTCACAGTGAGTCAGAAGGAGGCGCAGGTTTGACAGTGAGTAAGAAGGAGGCGCAGGTTTGACGGTGAGTCAGAAGGAGGCGCAGGTTTGACAGTGAGTCAGAAGGAGGCGCAGGTTTCACAGTGAGTCAGAAGGAGGCGCAGGTTTGACACTGAGTAAGAAGGAGGCGCAGGTTTGACGGTGAGTCAGGAGGCGCAGGTTTGACAGTGAGTCAGAAGGAGGCGCAGGTTTGACAGTGAGTCAGAAGGAGACGTGTGTTTGACAGTGAGTAAGAAGGAGGCGCAGGTTTGACAGTGAGTCAGAAGGAGGTGCAGGTTTGACAGTGAGTAAGAAGGAGGCGCAGGTTTGACAGTGAGCAAGAAGGAGGCGCAGGTTTGACAGTGAGCAAGAAGGAGGCGCAGGTTTGACAGTGAGTCAGAAGGAGGCGCAGGTTTGACACTGAGTAAGAAGGAGGCGCAGGTTTGACACTGAGTCAGAAGGAGGCGCAGGTTTGACAGTGAGTAAGAAGGAGGCGCAGGTTTGACACTGAGTCAGAAGGAGGCGCAGGTTTGACACTGAGTAAGAAGGAGGTGCAGGTTTGACACTGAGTAAGAAGGAGGTGCAGGTGTGACAGTGAGTCAGAAGGAGGCGCAGGTTTGACACTGAGTAAGAAGGAGGTGCAGGTGTGACAGTGAGTCAGAAGGAGGCGCAGGTTTGACACTGAGTAAGAAGGAGGTGCAGGTGTGACAGTGAGTCAGAAGGAGGCGCAGGTTTGACACTGAGTAAGAAGGAGGTGCAGGTGTGACAGTGAGTCAGGAGGAAGCGCAGACCTGACACTGAGTCACTGAGTCTTGATGCTGTCACACACAGGAGGAAGTAAAGAGCACACATACAAAGGAACACGGAGAACAACACAGCTTTTTCTGGACAAGCTACAATACAATACAAAAGACACACAATTACACACACCAGGATTCAACAAAGGATGAAAAGGATATACAATAAACCAACACACACACACACACACACACTTGCTGGTCTGTTGATGAACCACAGAAGACACATCTCTTCACTTTCGCTAATATTTCTGGCTCCATGGTGAGACCATACGCCCATGACCACAGTCCATAGACCTGAATGCACACACATCTTGGGTCCCCAGAGTGTGATGAAGTCCTCTCTGTCTCAGACTCTGTGTTCAGAGTGTGATGAAGTCCTCTCTGTCTCAGACTCTGTGTTCAGAGTGTGATGAAGTCCTCTCTGTCTCAGACTCTGTGTTCAGAGTGTGATGAAGTCCTCTCTGTCTCAGACTCTGTGTTCAGAGTGTGATGAAGTCCTCTCTGTCTCAGACTCTGTGTTCAGAGTGTGATGAAGTCCTCTCTGTCTCAGACTCTGTGTTCAGAGTGTGATGAAGTCCTCTCTGTCTCAGACTCTGTGTTCAGAGTGTGATGAAGTCCTCTCTGTCTCAGACTCTGTGTTCAGAGTGTGATGAAGTCCTCTCTGTCTCAGACTCTGTGTTCAGAGTGTGATGAAGTCCTCTCTGTCTCAGACTCTGTGTTCAGAGTGTGTGAAGTCCTCTCTGTCTCAGACTCTGTGTTCAGAGTGTGATGAAGTCCTCTCTGTCTCAGACTCTGTGTTCAGAGTGTGATGAAGTCCTCTCTGTCTCAGACTCTGTGTCCAGAGTGTGATGAAGACCTCTCTGTCTCAGACTCTGTGCGGCTGGTTGGAGGCTCTGGTTTCTGCTCTGGATCACTGCAGATATGGAACCAGTCCTGGATCTCGGTCTGTGAAGGGGCCTTGGACCTGAGGGGAGCAGAGGTGCTGTGCAAGGAGCTGGGCTGCAATGCACCTTCTGTCCTCCACCGGGCGCTCTCACCTCTTGGGCCAACGTTCCACTGTGAGGGCCATGAGTCTGCTCTGATAGACTGTCCCCGCTCCAGACCCAAGACCTGTTCCTCTGGACCCAGTGAGGTCGTCATCTGCTCAGGTTAGGTGCGGGCTTATGTGGGGGTCGGGGCTAAAGTGGGCGGGGCTTATTTGAGGGGGCTTAAAGAACTTCTCACACCCGCTCCTCGGAGCTTACGTCACTCACGTTTTCTTTTCAAATCTCCCTGTCGGCCCTGTCAAAGATGGAGTGATCAGACACCAGCTCTATAGATTCTGTGCGGTCTTCAGAGGTGGAGGACTTCTCTTGAGAGAGAGGAGGCAGACGGCGGCCCCCCAGCCCTAGCAGAGCTAGCGTCGCTAGTAGAGCTAGCCTTGTAGAGCTAGGATTACTCTTGCTACAACACATCATCAGTAGGGTAAAACCAGAGCCGGCGCTTCCTATACGCAGACTACGCAGTATGCGTAGGGCCCCGCAGCTGGAAGGGCCCCGGAGTCTCATGCCCGGAGTGCGGACTCCTTTTCTTTTTTTCTTTTTTTGTCATCGCTCTCACTCGTGCAGTTACGAGGCCCCTCTTATCCAGAATCACCCATGTGATTGGTTGTTAAAGTTTTCACTTGCTGTCTCCCATGATCCTCATACGTTACGTCCTTACGTCGCAACCCTCCCCTCCCTCCCCTCCCTCCGCCTTGTTATCAGTCGCGCAGCCACGAAGAGAGACGCTAACAAAATGAAGCGGAGTTATCCCTCGGGTCATGAAAAAAGGAAAAAAAGACACCATGACAGCGAACTTCGGGAACAACAGTCGGGTAAAACACGTGTGGTTGCATTCAATGTCTGCAAAGAAAGTTGAATATTGTGTCTGACCTGTTTTTTTTTTTTTAACGAGTCTCAAAACAACTTCATCAGTCAAGCTCTTTGTTGTGGTTCAGGTGTACACCTTCAAAATAAACGTGCTTCCTTTGGTAATTGGAAGTATTTTGTTACATTTGTAATACAGACATAATACTAACAGTGTTAGTATAATGCACTACTAATATTAATATTAAGGTAATATATTAATACTAGTGGTGATAATGATTTTATATACAAATTAATTACAGAAGATGTTATTTTACGATGAGATCATCACTTTAATTATTATGATTAGTATATTGTATAATATATATATACTATCATAATATAATAATATATCATAATAATGAAAGTGATGATCTCATTGTACAATAACATCTTCTGTAATTAATTTGATTTGTTAAAAACTAACTTTAACTTCATCAAAGGACAGGTAATGGCATGTACGTATTTAGAATATCTATGTTTTTACAGGTGCTATGCTGAAGTTCCTTAATAAAGGAGATCCTTCAGCAAGCAGCAGTACCAGCACAGTAGGTTCATTTGTAGCCTCTGCTAATCCAGGCAGTTCTGAGCCAGCGCTTCCTCCAGAAACAACCTCAGAGGAGAGTGAAGAAGAGGCTGAGGAAAACCTGGCTGAGGAAGACCTGGCCTCAGATGCAAATGTATTGTCAACATCAGAGCAAGATACATCAGACATCAGTGTTGCACCAGAAGACCCATCAGATTGGCCCCCAAAAATTACTGATAATATAAGAATTGAGTTGGTGCGCAGAGATCCCTTCAAACCAAGCCAGGATTTTCCCTATCCAAAAGACAAGTTCTACAGAGGATTTCATTCAGGGTTGTATCAAAGGAAGCTTTCAAACGGTGAAAAAATAACAAGAAGTTGGCTCACATACTCTGTGAAGAAAAATTCGGCATATTGCTTTTGCTGCAAGCTCTTTTCGACTAAAGATTTCAAAATAATCAATGGTATTGACGACTGGTCAAATATCAATGCCATTCTGAACCACCATGAAAGCAACAATGAACACACCTCAAGCATGGTCAAGTGGAGAGAACTTGATAAACGCATTAGGCATGGAAAAACAATTGATCATATTAATATGACAAGTATGAAAATTGAAAGACAGAGGTGGCGAGATGTCCTCAAGCGCCTAATTTGCATAATTCAATCTCTGGCTGAAAGGAACTTGGCACTTAGAGGCTCATCTGATGTTCTTTTTGAGGCAGATAATGGAAACTTTTTAAAAGAAGTTGAGCTACTTGCCAAATTTGACATAGTCATGCAAAATCATGTCGATAAAGTAAAGAGCAAGGAAACACATGTCCATTATCTCGGTAAGGAAATTCAAAATGAACTGGTTCAAATAATGAATGAGAAAGTTTTGGAGGAAATAATAGCTCAAGTACAAAAATCAAAATACTATTCAATCATTTTGGACTGTACACCAGATATTAGCCACCAAGAGCAGATGTCAATAATTCTGAGATGTGTTCAACTAAAGGAAATACCAGAAATTAAGGAGCACTTTCTCGGCTTTGTTACAGTTGAACAAACCACAGGTTTGAATCTGTCCTCTGTAATCTTGGACTTGCTGGATGAACTGAAAATTCAGTTTGATGACTGCAGGGGGCAGTCATACGACAATGGGGCCAACATGAAGGGTAAGCACCAGGGAGTACAAGCCAGACTTTTCAGTAAGAATCCAAGGGCTTTGTTTGTGCCTTGTGGAGCCCATACACTTAACCTTGTCATTTCAGATGCTGCGAAGTCCTCCAAAGAGGCCCTTGGATTCTTTGGTAATGTCCAGAAGTTATTCATCTTTTTCTCAGCAGGCACACAACGATGGAGTGTGCTAAAGAGGCATGTCAAAATAACTGTAAAATCCTGGAGTGACACAAGATGGGAGAGCAGGCATGAAAGTGTATCTGCTGTGAGGAACCAAGCAGCAGAGATTAGAGAGGCATTGTTAGAGCTAAAGGACAGTATTAATGATCCACAGGCCAAAGTTGAGGCCCAAGCCCTTGCTGAGGAGATTGGTGCCTATCGCTTCTTAATTTGCTGTGTTGTCTGGTCAGAGATACTTAAAATTACAAATACTGCAAATAAGCTGCTTCAGTCTGCTTCAATGCAGTTGGATGTGGCTGTGAATTTGATTTCCCAGGCAAAAACATCCCTTGTAGCTTACAGGGGAAGTGGGTTCATTGAAGCCCAAAAGACAGCTGCTAGTATTTGTCAGAAGATGAATGTGGATGCTGCTTTAAAGGAAAAAAGACTACGGAACTGCAAGAGTTTAGTTATGAAGCACCTGATGATCTTGCGGCTGATGCTATGAAGAGCCTGGAGGTGAACTTCTTCAATATTGTGGTTGATGCCGCAGTCACATCATTGGAGGAGAGATTTCAGACTCTTAATCAAGTTGACCAAAAGTATGGGGTTTTGCTAAACTTCAGCAAAAAATCATGTGGAGCATCTGCAGATGAAAAAATTCTACAAGCCAAATGCATGGACATTGAAAAGGTCTTAACCTACAAAGGACAGAGTGACATAAATGGACAGGACCTTGCCAGTGAGATCAGAGGTCTTCCTGATTTACCATCAACAAAGATGACAGCACTGGAGCTTCTGACCTTCTTGTATGAGAATAACTTGCAAGAAATATACCCTAACCTGTGGGTAGGTTTGAGAGTAGCACTAACTCTCCCTGTAACTGTGTCCTCTGCTGAAAGAAGCTTTTCAAAGTTAAAGCTTATCAAAACATACTTGAGAGCTTCAATGGGTCAGGAGCGGCTAAGTGGTCTTGCAATACAGGGAGATAATGAAGTCGATCACATATGATAACATCATTGATGACTTCGCCATGAGGAAAAGCAGAAAGAAAACCTTTTGAGTACATTTTCCACATTGTGTGTATTGTGCTGGTAAGTTTAATACTGCACTATTTATTTGTATTTATTTTATTGTGTGTGAAAAGTTCAAATGTTATTTTATCTTGTTTTGTTAAATCATTTAATAAATAGTATACATGTTAAACATGTTTTATTTGGCTGTTGTCTTATATTGCTTAATTAGTGTGAATTATGTATTTGTTTAAGTGTAATGGAACTTCTGCTTTCTTTAATTTTTATGGTTTCTGGAATAAGGTGTACCAAACCTGTTGCGGTCCTTAGGCAGATAAACCCAGGAAGAGCAAGGGCTTATCCGATGGTATTGTATGCAGCCGACTTCTGCGCTCACATGCCGTCTCGGGATGACTCACGGTGGATAAAGCCGTGGGTTTGAGCGCGATTAAGACCCCATATTTGTTTCAAATACACAATTTCGAAGCATCTTCTCAACTGTGACATGTAGATTGTAATAGGAATGATGATTTTACATCAGCCAATTTTAATGAGTTAGATTCTGTTGACCCTGTGTGTGTGTGATAAAGTAAATGCTTTCACAGTTGTCTAAAGTGATTTATGATCACGGTTTATTCTAAAACAGCTAAGTTGCAGGTCCTCCCTGTTAACGGCACTTAGGTGTATGTGTGTGATAGCGTTATCATGATGACGGTTGGGAGGTCGTACTAACAGCAAATCAGAATGGGTGGGAGGTCTATTTACACCAACCTATTAGACTGAGGAGGGTTTGTGATAGGTTGCTCTGTTTAAGGAGCGTCCCTATATAGGCCTGTGATTACACACAAGAATAACTTTTTTTTTTTCCTCTCCAACAAAGCTATAATGACAACTCCGCATAGATCTCAGATGTCAGCCCAGAAGTCATCGAAAAGGCGCTCCCTAGCAACGAAAGGTCTTAAACGGAAACCGTACACCGTCACACGCCGAGGGAGAAGTGATGCGTCTTATACATTTACGTACGCAGCTGGGTATGTTATTTTTGGGGAGGAAGCCATGTCTATAGCGAGTTGGTTCCATTTCAGGACTCACTCCAACGCTATAAATACGGCTATGGTTAAAAATGTAGAGTATAGACATTTTTGGAGAGAGGATAACAAAGGAGATTATGAGCTAGTGGTTACGAATGACCCTGCAGACGTAGAAAACAAGGGTCTTGTGCAAATTAAATTACATAATTACGCTGAATGTGTTACATCGGGTGCCTTACCCAAAAAACAGGTGAATATTGTTTCTGTACAGTACAAGGATTGGCCTGAAGTATCTAGAATATTTAGCAAAATTGATAAAGCAATTCAGAAAGATTACTTTTACATGGAGTTGGAAACTGTTAAAAAAAGACTGC